ATATGCGTTTTTGCTGCCTGTTGCAGCGCTCTAGCGCTGCACGGCAAAAACGCATAAAAACGCATGCTCGCACAGGCTTGTCTAGCGCATTCCAGGCTGGGTTTAATGTTTTAAAGATGCATATGTAAATTTTTTAAAAAACAAAACAGAAGTTGAAAACTGCCACCAAAATATCACTTAGAACGGCTAAAACAGTAGGGAATATAGAGCATAGTTTTCAGCGTAGCAAGACATACAATTCGAAGAGAGCAGCCCAATCCGGCAAAAATAAAAGATGAGTAAGACCGCTGCCATGCATTCCGATGAACACATCGCTATTGTAAGTGATTTCCAGCTGCTTCAAAAAAGGGATTGATCTGCAAAGTGTAGAACCAACTGAACAGCTATCATAGAGAGGCACAAAAATCTCGTAAAGCATTCAGTTATTTCTTGAATCAGCTAAATAGAAAAGTGAATTCGTTAAATGTACGCAGTAAGTAAGAGCAGTGTCGAAAGAGGGACAGGGAGCGTACCTATTGTAATCGACCCATTGCACAACAACATTGGGTATATTCTTCAGGATGTTCACCAGCTGAAAAAGTAAACTTGGAAGCGACCTGGAAAAATGGTTTCTAAAGAGATAAAACATGAGTAAAAAATACTTCTGCACAAGACCAGCGGCAAATGGGAAAATTGGACAAGCAATTGCTGCGGGCTTGACACCAGGGCCATCCTGCGAATTTGCAGGGAGAATGCAGCTATAGGCCGACTCAAACTAGCTATCCTTTCCACCGGATTTTGCGACAAACTCAATCCACTGGTCAGGCTGATACCGATCAGTCCGCACTCTCCCTTATTACCATTTTTTAAATTCATTCCCTTTCTACTGTTCAAAATTTCAACCTATTTTTTATGTCTTTTTGCTGTATAGCGTTATAGCGCTGCTACAGCGAACAAAAACGCATACCGTCGAGAGGTCGTATGTGTGTGTGTGTGTGTGTAGAAGCAAGTGGAACTTTGTCACCCACTTTCAACTCAGCAACCAGGGAAGCTGGGAGGCTGTAATAATGGGGTCATATTCTCACCCTGTATGTCACCCTCCCGTTTTAAAATCTTCGCTCAAACGCGCCTAGATCTCGCGTACGAGCCTCTGAAAAGAAAATATGCAAATTAATTTGGCAGGAAACGATTTCGTGAACCAGACATGATAGGCAGTTGGAACTTTGCTGGGATATTCCCTGTGCGCTTTGTAGGGATATTCTGTTCTCTGATTACAAATTCAACTACTGCACACGTTTATACTGTGCGTACGACCGCGCCAAAGTTCGCAGTTAATACTGTACTAACTCGTAAACTAGCTAAAAAACAGCAGCTGAAATGTTATCAGACTACTTGTTGTTCATATGGAAAATCGTATACCTAAATTGACCTTCGTTTTATACCTGCGCATGATTTGGGGTACTTCAAAGATATTTGTAAGAAAGTAGCTATTTCGCTTGCCAGACAAGTTGCGCTGCAAGGATACTGCAAGGATATTTTATATTCATGTGTAGACGTAATTCACCTTTAAGGCGAAGTTCCCTAGACATGACATATACTCAATTTTATCGCAAACTCGAAAGCCAGTGTATTTCACAGTCCTCTTTCGGTTTACTTCAAATTTGCATTTTTTTTCAGTGAATGAGCACTCACCGGAAAAATGATCGGGCCTCAAACAAAAAATAAATAGTCATGCACACAGAAAGTCCATGCGGCCCCATAACAATACTTTCATCCCAGCTTACATCCATTCCCCTGCATGCCCGAAGAGGCCAAAATACAGCCAGTATGAATCCAAATTTAAACTAAAGCGCAGAAATCACTCCTGCGATCTGTAAGCTTAGCGCAAAAACGCGTGATCGCATCGGCAGGTGCGTTGTCGTTTGGGTTTATAGAACTTATTATACTTGTTTATCAACATCACAGCCGTCATGCTGAAGTGATCTAGTTGTGATGCTGAACAAGAATGCACATGACTTAATGGACCGAAACATATCTACTCATCAAATTTTTTAATAATTTTACATATACATCATAATTAATATCTTTATTAAGTCGAGCAACGTTATCTGCTGAAATAAGATCAGCCAAGCGAAGAACATAAAGTGCTGGATGGACGTGTGATAGCTCTTTCTGAGGAAGTAGCACAACAGAGAACAAAATTCGAGGGAAGGATGAAGAAGGAATGAGGGTATGTGCAAGGGCGAGAACTTTTTCACATGTATGCAGCTGCTGGATAGCTGCTGCTGCTGCAGCAGCAGCTAAACGGCGTGGTCATTATGAGACCGAGTCCCTTCCCTCAATCTTGCAATGAAATGATCACTCACTGCACCACGCTACGCGTTCCGTATCCATTCTGCTGCTACAGCATCCCAGATTATCAGCGTCTTCAGATGACTATACGCTGATGGTGTTGTCCAGCACTCGTTACGTTACGGTTCCCAGAACAAGATGCATTTCTTTACGGTATGTTGCTCCAGGCAGGGACAGCGTGGTCGCCACTACGTTCCATTCTACGGTTGAAAGGTGTCGCCAATGGAGATAATTTTCCTCAAGATTATCTTGGCGAAAGTTTGAAATTGGCTTACTGATCATTCCGGGAGCTAAAACTACTTGTTTTAGTCGAAAATTTTGCCAATGAGAGGTTACTGTTTGCCAGTAGCAACCCGTACCGGCGTTTTACAGATGTACAGCTTCAGCAAAATTTATGGATCTGAACGGCGGGAGTGACGCTAGATGTGCTCAACAGCAGTGAAACTGTGGATTTTCATCATTCACTGTTAGCTGGACTGGCATCCGCATTCAATCATGGCTGCGCCTATCCCATACAGAACTCCCTCGAATAACCTGGTTTGTTGTTCATCATTATTTTGGGTAATGTTAATGCAAAATTTGCACGATACAACTGGAATGCGCTTACAGCGCATTACTACGATTTCTTCATGACAAGACACATAGGATGATGATCAATTAGAACAAAAAATTTTTTCGTACCACTACGCTTGTCCCATTCGAAACGTCGGCCCCCCACAGAAAGACAGTAGGAATCTGGAACAGATGGGTTAACAGACAATGCCGCTGCTTCCGGACTGAGACTACCGTGACCGGAGTACTTGTAAGTTTCAGATGACCAGTGAACCGCACCAACGGAAGGGACATGCAATCTCTAATGGCCAGCCAACTTCATAATTTAACATAGCACGAAAACAGCTGATCATGAAGAATCATTAAACTGCTGGTAGCAATGGGGAAATTTTTGCAGCCAGTTGGATCGTTTCCTCCCAACGTCTATTACCGTGACACCTACGGGCTGCAACACTATAGCGATGGATACGGCGCCCAAAGGCACTACACCGATTCCATTACCACAGTGGAGTCCGATGACACTGCGACTACTAAATCCACAGGTAACTACTATTCACTTACTCGAAGCATGTATACCTCTGCCCAGTAAGGAAATCAACACAAGAATAGATGTAGCAAAAGCCTTCATTCGACCAGCTATGCTTCAAAAGCCAACACACTTCCACTGAGGCCTACTGAATATCTGCAAGGTTCAAATAAATTAACGAAATTTTCCTGACCGTAAAAACGACCAGGATATAGTCTTTTTGCAGTGATTAATATAGCACCAGTAATAAAAGCTGTCAAAAAAAAAAAAAAAAAATTCACATCACTCGGAAATCTGATGCGTGCTTATGTATTTTGCTGTTGCTTCGTTGAAAGAAAACATGCATTAAAATTTGTTTCGATAACAGGAACTTAGATCTACTGCACTGCTCATCCGAAAACATTTAAAAGTATAAACTTTACCCTCAAACGTCTTTGGAGAGAGAGGAGCGGGGAAAG